TGTGTGTGTGTGTGTGTGTGTGTGTGTGTGTATATATATATATTGACCTGTCTTGATATCTTGAACTTTAATCTTTAATCAATGCAATTAAGTCATTAAGGGATCGTAAACTAGAATCGGAATTAGAAATATTGAATTTCTTACCTACCAACCTGCTCAGCAGATTATGACAAAAATCATGATTATGTTGGTGTGTATTGACATCGTGATTATTGATTAATGATTAACATTGAACATGATTAATTATTGACTTTGGAAATATGGAAATATCATTCAACTGAATATATAAAATATATATACATATATAGATATAAAATACACAATTTAAATAAAAAATATGAAAGTAATAAAAAATAAATATAATTAAATTAAATAATTAAATGAATGATAAAATAGTAAAACAAAGTACAAAATAAAAATATTTAAAAAAAAAAAAATATAAAGCAAATGTTTAAGAAAAATTTAAAAAGCAAAAATGTGAGTAATATTTCTAATATTTTAATGTAAAAATTAAATAATCAAAATAAGTGAAAAAATTATTTTCAGTTAATAGTACAATAAATGACAAAATAAACACACACACACACACACATATATATATATATACAATTAAAATAAATAAATGTAATAATAATAAGTTGAATAAAAATAAATTAGATCAAATATGTGTTGAAGGGATCGCAGCACAATGATTGTTTTATATTGTTTTCGTAATCTTTGGAAGCCAAAGGTTCAGTTGAAGATAAAACAGGATTATTAATCCAGCACTAAGCACCAGCTCGAGTGTTTGAGGTCTGGAGCTGCGTTTGCTAAAACCGTTCAATCGTCTCTCTCTCTCAGTTCGTGCTCCTGACCTACATCCTGGGAATCGCCTGGCTCGGGGTTTTCGGCTTCTCGGCGGTTCCTGTGTTCCTTTTCTACAACGTGAGGTCGACCTGCGCTGCCATGCGCTCACCGATGGCCAACCTGACCTCCGTCGACAGCATCTGCGTGGATGTGCGGCAGTACGGTACGAGTCTCTGAGCCTAATATCTGTCTTCATGCGTTCATGCTTTTATCCAATGCATATGTGACCCTGCAGCACAAAAGCAGTGTTAAGTCGCTGGGGGATATTTGTAGCAATAGCCAACAATACATTGTATGGGTCAAAATTATACATTTTTCTTTTATGCCAAAAATCATCAGGATATTAAGTAAAGATCATGTTCCATGAAGATATTTTGTAAATTTCCTACCGTAAATATATCAAAACTTAATTTTTGATTAGTGATATGCATTGCTAAGAACTTCATTTGGACAACTTTAAAGATGATTTTCTCAATATTTTGATTTTTTTGCACCCTCAGATTCCAGATTTTCAAATAGTTGTATCTCGGCCAAATATTGTCCGATCACAACAAACTAAACATCAATGGAAAGCTTATTTATTCAGCTTTCAGATGATGTATAAATCTCAATTTCGAGAAATTGACCCTTATGACTGCTTTTGTGCTCCAGGGTCACATATAAGGTTTACGTTTGATCTATTCATGCATTCCCTGCAAACGCAGTCTTGATAAGCATGTTGAGTTGTGTGATTGTTAGCTTGGTTTGTATCTCCATGCAGGCATTATTCCATGGAACGCAACACCGGGCAAAGCTTGCGGCTCAACGCTAGCTGATATCTGCAACACCAGCGAAGTATGAAAACACATCTGTCACACTCTAGTTTATTTACTTTGTCGTACAGCATAATGAGTTATATTTTTATTCTTTTAATTCTAATTATATTATTTTTAATGTAATTTATTAAATAATTATTTAATAATGTATTATTTTATTTTTTATAAATGTCTTTCACTCTAAATTTTATTTGTAATGTAGTGTTTATTAAAATTTTTATTATTTCTTTATTTAATATTTATTTTAGTTCATTCTTTTTAGTTTAATTTATTAAATAAATATTTCGTAATTTATCTTTAATTTGTCTAGCTTTTTAGTATACATTTGTAATGTAATGTTTATTTTAATTTTATTATCTCTTTATTTAATATTATTTAATTTTAGTAAATAATTTTTTGTTTAAATTATTTAATAATTTATAATTTAACTTTTTTTTTTTACAAATATAATATATATTCATACATTTGTGTGTATTTATTAATGTAACTCTTAAGTGTTTTGTGATCAGATGCTTCCAGTGTATTTCAGGACTTGCAGTTTCTTTATTCCGTCATTGATTTCTGTGCTTTCTCTTCCACCAGCTCATCTACATGATGGCTACCACGTATAACTTTGCTGTTTTGAAGTTGAAGAGTCGAGAGGACTGCTGCACTAAATTTTAACGCAGTTGCGTGAAAGTGCCTAGAATGAGCAGCCACTGACAATATGGACTAAAATTATAGAAGCGAAGACAAACGGGAGAAACATTTCTTTGCTTTGACTTGTAATGTGTAAATATAGGCCTGTATACGGATGTAGCATTTGGACGCAGGTGCAGCCCGAGTCTGCAAACATGCACGTGTTGTTAGCCAGAAAAGCCTGATTTGAAGTCTCTTTAAATTCCTCTGAAGTATTACGGCTAAAGGACAGACGCACGGCGCAGCAGAGGAAAGTATGTTTCCCATTCATTTTCTCAATAGAGATTCTAGAAAACCCTGATCCATGAACCAAAAACCAACCAGGTGATTCACGAAATACCATTCAAAGCACTAAGATTGAAGACTTAAATAACAGGAAAACTTGCATCTGAGCTTCAGTTCAAATTTGTATGTATTATAAACAATTCTAACTATTATTATATATGCAGTTCTTATATATTAGTGCTGTCAAACGGTTAATCGCGATTAATCGCATCCAAAATAAAAGTTTTTGTTTACATACTATATGTGTATGTACTGTGTTTTTATTATGTATATATAAATACACATGCATGTATATATTTAAGAAAAATATGTTTTGTTTATATATAAAATATTAATGCTTATATATAATATTAATTATATTTGAATATATATATAAATATATATATATATATATATTGTAAATATTTTTTGTCTCAGCAATGGATGCTCTGCAGTGAATGGGTGCCGTCAGAATGAGAGTCCAAACAGCTGATAAAAACATCACAATAAAAGGTTTAAAAATAATTAAAGGTTTTAAACTTCAAAACAGTCCGTAATCAATAATTTTGTAACTCTCATTCTGACGGCACCCATTCACTGCAGAGGAAAGTTTAATTTTTGGGTGAAGGTCATGATGTGACTCTAGCTTATTTCACACCAAGATCCAGCATTATTGACTTAATCAGATTGCATGCTTCATTTTACGTGTTTTATTTAGCATTCCTCTAAGATTCTGGTGCCTGTAGTTTTTCCTTTATAAAAATAAACCTACATCGTGTGCAAAATATCCTCAGTGGTCTTTATTGAGCGGATGGAGGGGTTTCAGTTTGTCTCATGCTGCGTGTTTTCATACTAACCCTCGTTTCAAGCTTTGCTTCGCTCCCGTTACCTCACACCCCAGAGTCCTGTGCGTATCAGTGTGTATTCAGTGTGTAATGATGTTCATTCGTTTGTGTGCTAAAGGAATAGTCCGGCTAGGAATGAACATGTGCTGACTCTCATGTTGATTCATGTGTTGTTATTATTTACTGTGCTGCAACACAAAAGCGCGAGCACATTTAGTGCATAACGAATTCAGTGTCAGCCTTTTAATCGCTCAAAACATCATGACTTCAGAAGACTTTGCACAAGTCATATGTGCAACTTTTAAGATACTTTTTACTTTTTTGAGAAATTTTCAAATTCAAGAGATTTATTACTTTATTTGTAGCAAGGCCATTCACATTCTTAAATTCACTCCAAAAACCCTGTGATTATTAAATTATGACGACTGTGTATAAGTAGCAAAAGTCTCATGTTATTACAAAACTATTTTTGTTTTTTTCATCACAAACTATATGATTGCACAGCTCTTTATTGTAAAGTTGGATAAGTATGAACCAGGGTTGTTATGGTTAAACTAAAAGCATAAAAAAACGTAAAAAATAAACTTTAGCTGAACTGAAATGAAATATTAAAAAATATATATTTTATTTAGCTAGTTGTCAAGGCAACATTGCTCATTTTCATTTAGTTTAACTTGATGTACTAAAATAACTCAAATTAAAACAAAAATTAAAGAAAATTAAATTATAATAAAAAATAAAAAAATAAATAAATATTGTTAAAAACTCTATTTAACTATATTTTAACTAAAAAAAATAAAAGTGAAAAATAAAAAACATTTTTAATAGTTTTTGTTTTTATTTAATTGTATTTCCTAATTCTTTTATTTCTTATTTCTAGTTTTAATTATTATTTTATTTTAATTACTTTTAGTTTTTGTTTTAGCTATTTTAGTACATTAAGTTAAACTGTTATGTATTATTATATATAATAGTTGTTATAGTTAACTAAAACTAAATCCATAAAATCTTTTGTTTCTTGACATAAAATAATCTTTAGATGAAATAAAGTAAACTTTTTTTTTTTTTTTTTAAGTGGTTACACGTTATTTTAAGGTGTCCTTGTTACAGTGTAATTATACATATAAGTACTGAGTAATATTTATCAACTACATGTACTTACTATATGGTTAGGGTTAGGATTAGGGTTACTTGCATATCCAAACTTAATTTTTGATTAGTAATATGCATTGCTAAGAACTTCATTTGGACAACTTTAAAGATGATTTTCTCAATATTTAGATTTTTTTGCACCCTCAGATTCCAGATTTTCAAATAGTTTTATCTCGAGCAAATATTGTCCGATCCTAACAAACCATACATCAATGAAAGCTTATTTATCAGGTTTCAGATGATGCATAAATCTCAATTTTGAGAAATTGACCCTTATGACTGCTTTTGTGCTCCAGGGTCACTTATATGAATCAATTTAAATCTCTGAATCATAGCTATGATTTCTTCAACTTGCATTTCTTTACCAAAATGAACAATAATGCCCTCAAATTTAAAATAAGGGGGGAAAATAAACTAAATCTATTATGGCTGTAGTGATTAAAGTGAAATGTGAAAATTTGCAGCATTATATTTACATCTGCTCATGTTGCATCAACGATTTCCTTTTTTTTTTTTTTTACATTTTTTATGATTTATCACGTTTCTATTGGTTCATCAATACAAGCTTCTGTTCCACCTTTGCAGTGTGAAAATGGCTTTTGTTGAAGCTGAACCAATTTTATTGGTCTATAGTATTCTGACTGAATGAAGTAACTGAACAAGTACTAGAATTTGTCATAAAAGACAACACAGATCCATTAAAAAATGGCCCTGAAATCAGTCCCGGGGTAAATGTCAATGATTTCTGCTGCTGCGGTGTAATGCGTGTGACCTGCGGCTGTGGCGAGTGGTGCTCTTCATCCTGGGGCTGCTGGGAGGACTGATGGATGAGATGGTTTCTGCAGAAGGGATTGGAGAGATCTGCCTCTCAGGAAACCCCAGCGCCGCTCCATCAGTCCTCAGCCCGTCTGCGACTAAACACACAGATTACACTCCGTCATTACGAACAGAAACACTGATTTTACAGAGGTCCTACACATTTGCCATGTCAAAACTCCATACATAATTAAACCGTTTTAAAATGAACATGCTACATTTTGACTTTGTGTGCCAATTAGGTCGTGTTGCCAAATAATTGGTGGATTATTAAATGCAGGTACAGTAGCTCATACGGATCAATAAACACCAAATCCAGAGAGTTTATTAAAACTGCATTACGTTTGACACGCTTTCACTGACTGCATGCATTTTAAATATTTTAAATTCATAGTAAAATTTATTTTAATTTTCTGCCTAATTTTGTCACGGATTACATTTATTTAGAAAATATTATTTTCAAAATAATGGCAGGATATGCTATTCAGTTTAATGTATGCTATACTAACCACTTCACAAATCATACTGAATGAATCATTTGTGAATGGTTCTTTTTAGTCAGTTTGTATTAATGAATCGTTCAAACCACTTTACAAATCATTCGGAATGATTCATTCGTGAATCAGTCCATTAACTTTATTTACTCTTAGAACTTTTTTATTAATCACTATAGTCCTTATTAGCCATTAGTATAACCTGACTTCACAAAAGAAACATTCAGAATGATTTGTGAGAGTGCATGAATGATTCATTATACAAACTGACTCAAAAGAATCATTTGTGAATTTATCTGAACAATTCATTGAAGTGAAGTGGCAAAGAACGATTCATGAATCAGTCAGTTGCTTAAATGATTCCTTGAAGTTAACTGACTGAAAAGAATGATTCATTTGTGAATTCAATGATTCATTAAATTACTCAGAACATTGAGATGATTCTCACTTAACTTAAAGGGTTAGTTCACCCAAAAATGTAAATTAGCCCATAAATTACGCAAAGCCGACCTCATACGTCATCCGCCCGGAGCTGCTTCTGTGTACAACAGTGAGCGCAAGCTACATTAAAGTGATTATTACGTTTTGAATATGGATATTTTTCTTACAAAAACGCATCGGTTCGCTACAGAAGGCCTTTGTTCACCCCCGGGAGCCGTGTGAGACACTTTTTATTATGGATGGGCGCTTTTTATTTCACTTCTTTTGGACTGATTCATGCAACACCCGCTGAGTGCCTTTAAACAGCTTGAAAGATCAAAGACAATTTTTAATATAACTCCGACTGGATTCGTCTGAA